TATGCTTCAGAAGTTCTTGGAAAGCTCAGAACATCTCCTGGTTTTTGGCTGTGAACTCCCACCTGAGAAGTAACAGGCACCTTTCTGAGAAGGACAGAAGGACAGGACAGGTGCTGTGGCCACTACTGTAGGGACACAAAACCACCCTTCTGCATCTCACAGGCCCTTTGCTGATCCTGTGGATGGTAATGCTCTTCTGCTCAGGAAAATGAGCAAACTCTCTCAACTGTTCCTCCCTTCCCAGGAGCCAGTCTCACCACCGTAATGACAACCAGGAAGCCCTAGAAGACTATGGATTTTGTAACAAGCCTGTTATAAATCCCTGCAAGTCTTCTGAGCTGCATTATCCACATTTTAAGCCCCTTATTGGTGTAAGGGCATCCCAGCACAGCAGTGGTATTACTATACTCACTGAGTGTGAAGCTTGCAAGATTTAAGCAGGGAATCCACAGATGCAGGCACTTTGCCTGATACATAACCTGCCTATTCAGAAGATCATTGTAAATGTGTCTCTTCTCTCTGACCCTCCAATAACCAGTTCTCCCCAGTATCACTCCTTGCAAGTCCTGCTGTATCACCTCATGGGTATGAGTTCCAAGCACACAATGAGATGATTCACAAAGATCAGAAAGGGAAATCTTAATTCAGATTTATTTTGCTGAGCTTTAAGCTTTTATTTTATATTAATGGGTCATTTTAGAAATAGCCTTAATTTTCACTATTTGAAGATGAAAAATAGATGAAGGGTAGTCATAGTCATGAATATGTTGAATAATAAAGGGCATATATAGTTACACAGCACTGTTATTAGTTAATATTCAGAATAGGCAAAACTACCTGCCAGTTGTAACGACTGATGAACAAAAGATAATGACAATATATTTGATTGATATATAATGCTCTTATCTACTGAGCAAACTATTACGAGAAGGAATAAGGTAGAGTTAGATTAAGAATTTGTAATGTGTAAGAAATTCAGCATTTGCCTTTGTCCTAAATTTGGATGAAGGGATTAGTTAGGATTTTCATGGAATAGAAATTTTAAAAGTTTTAATTCAGAAACGTCCAAAACACGTTATCCTTCATGTAACAGACCCATTCCATTACATTCAACTAATATGAAATTCTTGGTTTCAAATCAGCTTTCTCTTAAGCACCAATAGCAGCACACTTCAACATGCCCGAAACTCAGATTCTCTCCTATCTTCGCTAGACTGCACCTTCCACAATACTCACAAAGTCAGGTAATGCCCATGGCACATGTTTGCATGGAGGACACTTGCATCATGGAGGTAAATGCAGACTGCCACTAGAATATAATGGGGACCCAAAGCACAGTTGCCACAAAGCAATACAATGATAGAGAAATGGGATTAAAATTTTGTCAGACAGCCTACCTGACTGAAAATGCTTCAAGCCAGTTCAGAATTTCTGACTCTGCCTCAAAGTGTGGGAAGTCCAGCCCTGGGGTTCAAACAGACATGTTCAGAGAGAAAAGCCTGTAGCCCAGTGGCACGTGCTGTCATCTAGTATCAGGTTTTCACCCTTCTATCTGAAGCATTGCCAGTGGTGCAAAGTAGAAATGACACACAGGTTTCCAGGCCTTGATCCTTCCCTTGGGCCATGTAACACAACATGAGAGAGGTCACAGGTGTGACCTGCCCATAACCTATGGGACAGCTTAGGATGTGTTGTGTGATCCTGGCTTAGTTCAGCAAAACCAGCCACTCCAATTCAGCTTGAAGTGAATCAATGGTTTGGATTTTCCTGACTTCTTTTTTTTATCCTATCATCAAAATTTTCCTTGGGGAAATCTGACTTGGTAAAAATTCTGCTTTTCTTTGGAAAAGTCCTACTGATGGAAAACTCCCACACAGCTATAGAAGTAACCTCAGAGATAACCAGCCATGTCCATGCTGGCTTTCAGCCTACCTTCTCCCCATCACCTGAAAAGCAACAGCCCTCGTGCTGTCCAGGACAGCCTGGTCTCACCTGGCTAAGGGGGAATGTAAGTCGCAGAGCAATCAGGCTCAAAGAAGCTCTGCAGCTTGGATGTCTGTTCTTCCTACTGCTGTGGCAGCAGCAGGGGGAGCGCAGAGGCTATTGCAAGGTCCTCCTGCCTCAAGACATGCAGGTTTTACATGAGTTAATGCAGCTGAAAAAACCAATAGACAGACTAGGGTCATTTGTAGCCAGGGTGGGGGGGTAGTTGGAGGGGGGATTTAGCGTGAGGCTCTGCTTCATGATCAGCGGTATCTAGATAGGGCTGCAGGAGTCTAATCATCCAGGACAGATTTAACAGCATTTTATAGCAGCATGCACACCTATTACTTAATAAAGTTACCAAACACAGGGCCACCAGATTAAGTACTCCCATAATAGACATTAGTTTTTCATGTTTCAATACTCAAGCAGAGGGAAGTGAAGTGGCCGGTCCAAGACCACAAAAGCCTGATGATGAATTTACCTACTGCATCTCCTGAGCACCTGGGAAATCCTGAGATCCATCTCTGTAATCAAACCATTGAGTCAACGCCATTCCCAGATACCAGAGTCATGGCAAGTCTTTTGACACTAGCAGGGAATGCAATTGTGTAACATACACATCTGCATGCTTTCTGCACACCCTATATCGATGTTAGGCAGCCTGGATGGATATTTTCCCACTTCTTCAGTTAGATGTTTAACACATCTACTGAACGTGACAGAGTTGCAGGATGAACACCTTTTGGAAAGGCTTTTGCCACTCGCCATCTCTTTTATGTGATTCTTAAACCCTTTTCCCCTGCATACCCAGGGCTGTGCTTGGATATTGCATGCACTGCAGCAGAGCCCTGGGAATGGTGCATTTTCTTGACTCAGCTAAATTCTGCAGCCCTATTGCTGCCCACTCTCCTGGGCTCAGCCTTCAGCTCCATAGCTGAAATTGCTTACCCTCGGGCATGGCACACTCGACTCTCCCACTCTTGGGAATAAAAGCATTTTGGTACCCCAGTCGCCAGCCCAAGCTGATGACAGGGTGAGAGAAATCTTGTCTTATTCCTTTCCCCCATCTGTTACATGTTAACAGGCAATCATTTAGGGAACCACAGGGAGAATATGGCTGTGCTGGGGAGAGGGGGTTGGAAGGAAGCGCTCTCCCTTCTTGGGATTAAGTCAGCTGACATATCACCCAGGCTGATACAGCCTCTAGTTACTGCCACCCTGCATCATTTTCTTTTGATTTTCTCTGAAAAGTCTTCAAAAGTTCCTAGGTCTTTTTCTCTCTCTCCAGGTTAGGCCTCTCCTCAGCTCTGCCACAGAAATGCTCCAGTATCGCTCCTACGAGGGGTTAGTTTTTCAGTCTCTCCCTATATAAGGAGCCCCTAGGGCTTTGCCTCAGAGTACTACCCTGTCCCTCCTTTAGCACCTGAACGTGCCAAAAAGAAACACTGGGAATGGGTCCAAGTGCTGGAGGAGGGACAGAGTCAGTGCTGACAGTCAGAAGTCCAAGTGAAAGTTCACGTTCAATCACAGGAGATTCAGCAATGACAAATCACAGAAACCCTGCCAGGGAACAGGCCAATGCCCTAGAGATGGCCATGCTTTCCACACAGCATAATAAAAGAGGAAGAATCGGTGGGGCAATACAAAGTGATTACTTCCACAGCTGGATAATAGTAAGGAGAGACATCTAGAATCTAAGAAATCAAGCTAGAAATAGTGAATTCTGCAGAGACCTGAGCTGAACTGCACCCTGTACTGCTCTGTCTGCTCCAGAGTTGAACATCCCCAGTGACAGAGTGTAATCAGGCCCATTCAATGAACAAAAATAAAATTAGTGCTCTCCCCAAATGTGCATTTCTTTCATTTCTCAGAAGACAAGAACGTGTTGGTGTGTAGCCAAGTGTTGTGTGTAGCCAAGTACACACACAGCCGCTTGCTCACTGGACATCTGTCCCCACCATAGTTGGGTAAACTCAATACACTTTCCACTGGAAGATGAATGATCCTGTTCTTTTTCCAGTTAGAGAGTGTAGGAAATAAAGGGAGTATCTGTATGTCCAGGCATGGTTGCTCACATGGGGCCTGCTTCTGTAAGTACACCCAAGCATCCATGGATATTGGAGCTTGCCTGGATGCACTCCCACTTTTGACTATACTGTTGTACCTGCATGTGTGCACATCTGCAGCATACTTTTGGCAGTCAGGACACAGCCATACACCTCATATGTGAATTGTACATGCAGGAGCAATGCACTGCAATTCATCTACACATACATGCACTGAGGTTTTCAAAATCACCTGAGGAATTTCTCATCCTTAGTAAGACTGACAAAAACTGGGTATCTATATCTCCTTCAGTACCTAAATTTTTTATCTTCAAAGAAGTTGCATCTTTATGAAAAGAGTTGGTGGAGCTGGAAAAGGAGGAACACAGGATTGACTCTCATCCAAGTGCCCCGTCCAGCCTTGTGGTGATGTCTGTATGGAGTCCATGGCCACAAAATAAGACTGGCAGGACAGAGTGAGGACCTTTCTACTCCAGTAATGCTGGAGCTTTCATCTCAAGGTGCAGACATCTCTAAAGAGATGCCATCTCTAGGCAGGCGCATCCACTCTTCAAATGGGCCTTAAAACCACCTTTAAAGTGCAAAGTATTTCTGTTCCAGGCCTTACTCCACTAGCAGCCACATTATCATGTATCAGTGCCACTAGCAGAGGCAGGAAGATCCACTAGGCCAGATACCCAGATCTGGTAGCCAGCCAGGGTAGGCACTTGGCAAAGGTTCCTACCACCACAAAGCCTAACTTCATGTCCAGGCTGATTTGGAAGGACTAGAGCTACACAGGAGGAGAGAGGAGGCATAGAAAAGGATGGAGGGTTAGGTGCATTTCATTCACCCTCCTTTGCCGCCTTTTATATGCCATGGAAACACTGCAGCCTCAGCAATGTCTGGGGCCGCCTCCCTGTTTTGCTATGGAGTGCATGTCTCAGTTTCCCTCCCTTCCCACCATACCTTGAATAGTCCTCTTGAAGAAGGCTTTGCACGCCTCACAGGAAGCCACGCCGTAGTGGTACCCAGAAGCAATGTCCCCGCACACCAGGCACAGCCGCTTGGGGATTGCATTGAGCATGTACTCGCACTTGGTGGGCGAGTCCTCCATGATGGCACTGGCGCAGTCGTCGTAACGCTTACGGCAGGACCCACTGCCAATCCCCGTGCCATTGAACATGGGTGGCGAGTCTAGGCCATTGGGGTGGCCACCCATGGCGATGCCGTAGCCACCGCTAGCATCGGAGGAGCCGCTCGGGCTGTGGTGGCTGATGGCGTCGATGCCAGAAGATGGACTGGAGGGCTCGGTCTTGATGAAGGACCCACAGCTGGAGGAGAGGTGCCGCTCCTCTGTGGCCATTCTGCCGAGCAGCCTGCAGGGAGAGAGCAAAGGCACTCAGCGGCCTCCTGGCCAAACCCAGCTCCAGGTTGGTCAAAAGAGAGCCCTCCTTTTCCCACCTCGGTCCAACTCCAGTTGGCTCAGGCAGTTCAACACTCCCCCCCTCCCCCCCCAGGCACTTCTCCTTCAGGAATATCGGTACAACTCACTAAAAACAGCCTGCCTACTCCCCACAAACTCACACTAGAATAAAGTCAAGACTATTCATGTAGATCACAATTTCAGGTTGTTCACAGGCTGCAGTGCTAGGAAGGGGTATCAGTGCTGATGAGGCACAGCCTACTCAGAGCACAAGCTACACCTGGGACAGCAGAAAGAAATGAGCCTGCCTGTGGCAGGCCAGGGGAAAAAGATGTTTGGTTAGTTCAGATGTGCTACCCTGGCTCTAAGCAAAAAGTTCACTAGCAGACCCTGCAGGAAGGACCTTCTCAGATTGGATTTTCATTTGTAATACAGAAGTCTTTGATTAATTTTCATGTTGGATTCCTTCCCACCCGCTTCACTATCATTACTAAAAGGGGGGCTTAGAAAATGAAGGAAAATCATCTGATCAAAAGTTTCCTCCAGCTTAATCTTAAATCTTAATTTTTCTTCTATTTACTAGTATAAGGCTTTGCATGGAGACGCTTCTCTCAAATTCCTACTTCTTAGAGAGAGGGTTATGCTCTTAAGTATATAGAAAGGACTGCATCTTTACCAAATTTGCAAGTTCCTTGTATTTATCGTAGTCACAGATAGTATTACTTCTTATATAAATGTTCAGGCTTTTTTTAGAACACTGCTAGTTTTCATGATATCTTACGGCAATGAGTCTCAGGGATTAGTTGTGTGGTGTATGAGCAAACACAAAATCCCACTTTTATTTGCCCATACTGTAGTTGCAGCCTTTCAGGCTCCCTGAACATCTCCTGACTCTCCTCAGGAAATGTACTTTTGCTGTGTTCTCCTCATTCGGCTCTTTATTATCTATATAATTGTTCTTCACGCAGAAGTTTTTGCAGACCTCTTATCTGCTTCATCATCCATCTCTGAACTTCCTCTAGTCTGGCTATTTCTGTTCAGTCCAGAACAGAGTTCAATGAGCCAGCTCCTCAGCAGCATGAAACTGGCACTGCTCCATCACTTCTCCAGCTGAAGGTCTGGACAGTAGTCAAGACAAAGGCACGCCATCAATTACCTACTGACGTTACCATATTTTCAATGTTATTTTCAGCCTATCTATTATATAACTCCTTACATTGTTTGCTTTTCTCCTCTTTAAACTAAAATCTAAATTGTTACTGTTTCTTCAACAGAGAATATCAGCAAGTTACTTACTGCAATCCTCAGATCTTTTCCTGAGTTCCTACAGTTAATTTAGAATCCATTAAGATGTATGAAAAATCAAATTAATGCCTTCTGGTGTGCAATGTTTTGCAATAGTCAACAGTGTATTGCAGCTACCATTGTGCTGTCCATGCACCCAGCTTTATTAGGATCCTCTGGAGTTCTTCAGTCTTCCTTGATAATTTGATGTCATCTGCAGAGCCTCATTGTTCACCCACTTCCCAGATCATTAACACATGGATCAAACACCACAACACTGATCTTTGTGGGTGATTCATGTTAACCTTTATCATGCTGAAAATTGACTTCTCTTTCTTTTCTGGGTAGGATGTGTCTACCCTTTCTTTTCTGTCTCAGACACTTTTAAATTGATAATAGTATTAACCTGAGAGGTTAAACTTTCCCTTCAGCGAGATAATTTGATGAAGGCTTTTAAGAAAACCTAAATACGTGCATTTTCTTGATGATATGTCCAAAGAATTCTGACTGACTGGGGATGCTTGACTTTTCTTCTTGGAAGCTCTGCTGGTTTAAAGTTACCATACCATGGTCATGTGGGTAATTTCTGTTTCTATTTCAGTTTCAGCCTATTTACCTGGTATTTGTGGCAACTCCTTCTGCCAAGAGGACAAAATATTCTGTGATACAGCAAGGCTGGAGTGCACATGTATGTATATCATGTCTGTGTCTGTTGATATGAATGTACATGTTTGATATGCAGCAACTTCACAGTCCTGCATCCTTATGATCTCATTTGACCCAAGTATCTCCCAATTTTCCCTTCTCTGTTTCATCCTCAATGTTTGACCTCATCTCCTATCTCTGGAATCGATCAGCCAAGTTTGTTATTTGGCAAGACTGTTGACCTTGAGAGTATGGGCAGGCATCTCACGTTCCTCAGCTGCTTTGCCTGGTGTTACTTGAGAGGAATCCAGAGTTTGGTCCCTCTCAGAGACAGCGTGATGAGTTGATGAATGCCCATGCTTTGCCCACAGGGTCACACTGGACTAGAGGCCATGGAGCACTTACAGGAATAATTGTTGCAGGTGCATTCATCTTTAATCCTGCAGGGCTCCTAGACAGATTGCAGATCTCCTAGTGTAATGCCAGCTGACTGTGTGGAAGAAGATGAAGTTTGCTAGCTGAGACCAGATCTTAGCATCTCACAGCAAAGCTGAAAGTTGTTCTGCTGGCCAGATTCTGGAACCTTTCCCTA